TAGGGCATTGGGTGCCACAGTGATTTTAACTGTGTTGGCTGCAGCACTGGAAAAAGAAAAAAGAGGGAGTTTGTGTTTTGTTGTTTTGCTTTTTGCAACCTGGCATGAAGAATGGGGTCAGGAGATGCGTGCTTGGGAGAGACCCAAAGAGAGAGCTGGAAACACGCCAGCGATACTGAGTCATAACACACATGCTTGTAAGTATCTTTGTACCTTACAAAGTCCTGACTCTGCAAATAAAACCATCACTGCTGTTAAAGTATTTACATAAAAGTAAAACAAATAGCATGGAGTGCTGCATGCACTCTCCCTTGTTTCAGCTTTGTTTTACCCTGTGAACTATGACTCCTGTTTGCTTAAGGCAAGGCCAGGCCGGGCTGAAGAATGCTGTATCTGCGATGAATGGACAGAGCCGCTGGAGTCACGTGTACATGTATGTTTCTGCTGCTGCTTGTGGAGCACAGCAGTGTGCAGCAGCTCCCATGACTTCAGGCTGATGTTTTACCTGCCCAAGAGGCAGTGTGAAGACTGCCCCTCATTTCTGCTTGCTTTGTTGGTTTTTTAAAAATGAGGATTTGAGTACAATTTTGAAAGTAGGAAGGCTGTGTGCAGCCTCATGTGCAAGCTAGGCAGCTGGACTGTAGTAAGCAAGCACCTCAGGTGTAGGTGAATGGTGAAAGGTATAGGTGGTGCACATTTTGATTTCATTGCAAATATATAGGCATTATATCTCAATGTATATTCTACATAATTACATACTAAATATTAGTATGTGTTTATTTTAGTTGGTGCACACATTAATAGATATATATCTTACATTTAATGTATTATATGCATCTAATGTGTATGATATACATTAATTTGCATATAGCAAAACACACACGAACATGTATATATAGATACATGTGTGTATATATATTTATTCCCAAATTAACAGTATGTCACAGTAGCCTGTTACACTTTTCTACAAACATCAGGTCCACATCTCTAGAGCTGAAAGCAAGCTGCCAGCAACATAGCCCGAAAGAAAGTTGCTGTTCTGTCTACGAGGTAGCATCCTGTGCAGGAATGTACCTCGTGGGTAAATGGAGGTTGTGCTCCTCTTCCCCACCCCCTTAGACTGAACTTGCCAAACTGTTTCTTGGCTGTCCTGGTAGCTGAAGTTCAGATACAGACGTACGATGTGTGGTCAAAGAAGGTGGCATTGGCAGTTTAAGGGAAATGATGCAGTTGTGTTTCTTGATTCTGCCCCAGGGCTTCCCTGGTTGTTTGCATCTGTTACTTTTATACTGACTCGATAAAACCATCTTATTGTCAGATTGGGAGGCAGAAATCATCTCAGCTGACCTGCACAGTGAAGGTTATGGGCTTGCGGTGATGAACCTACGGTTTAAGATGGTATTCAGCCCTTTTTTGGGTCTGAGTCAATAATGGACAATCCATTAGTTCCCCATAAGTCGTTTCAATGGCTAATTAGTTGCACAGTTGCAGAAATTGTTCTTTAATTCTGTCTTACATTTTTCTGAATCGAGTTCCAGCTGTTGGATGATATTATACCCCTCTCTGCCAGCCTCGAGAGCCATCTATTAACAAATCCCTACTCCCTGTGGAAATATTTAAAGGCAGCAATTGAGTCAGTCCCTTTGAGGTTGGGTTTTGGAGGGAGGGGGTGGTGTTGAGAAGTTGCATAGATTAAATTCCTCAGGGCTTTCACTTGCGCATATTTCCAAACGGTTCTAGGCATGTGTATGTTGTTTTACTAAAGTGAGATAACTCTTGCCGTTTTTAGCGCTGTGAGTGCAGAGCGGGTGCGTGACGGCTCTCCCTCCGCTGGGGTGATGAGGCAGAGACGACCTGACCCATGTAATTATGGTTAAATGTGTCGGGAGCTGGAGCTGCAGCTCAGCTGGGCTCGGAGTCAGCTGCTCTCGGGCTTGCGGCTGCTTTTGTGCCGCAGGCTCTGGGGGAAGAGATGCATTCCGCGATGGGGGAACCTTTTCATTCCTCCTGCATATGGAGCTGCGTGAGTGCAGGTGTTTGGCAGCGGCTTAGCCCCTTATTTTGCTGACCTTGGATAACACTCAGTGTTGGGGAACTTGACCTTTTTCCAAGCCGAGCGGTGGGTGCGGGGACAGCTCACAGCAGAGCAGTGACACAGCTCGGGCTGGTGGGAACTCTGGTGTGGAGGGACTCTCCCACGTGCATTTCTGCTGGCAGCGCTGCTGTTTCAACCGGCGGATGAAGCCAGTATGGTTCATCTCAAGTTTTACAGCTCCATGAATTGAGCGTGATGTGAAATGTTACTGTGTTGCTTCAGGGGTTGCTGAGGGAGGTCTTTGTTGCTGCCTTCTGGGATCCATCTCTTCACTGGTGGCACTAATGCCCATGCAGCCCCCAGGCTGGTGGCAAGGCAGGAGAGTCTCCTGCAGTGGTGCTGCAGCCTCCACTTAGCACCAGGAAGGCATCTGGGCTGCTCTGCCCCTTGGAAGATTGGGTGCCAAGTTGCATGCCATCCTTTTGCATGTCCAGTACATTGTCTGGGAGCGGGGAGATTACTTCAGGCTGTTCACAGGAATACTTGGAGAGGGTGACCTAGACCAGAGGCCTCTGGTGTGCGGTGATGAGCTCCTTCCCTCTCGCAGAAGGGACTGTCACCGGTGTGTGCCAGGGCTCAGGTTGTACCTGCCAGTGGTTCTTACCCACTGCAGTTGGCCATGTTGGTGGTACATGACAATTTAAAGATCAGTCGTGTTAGCACGTTTCACCCTGTCACTACTGAAGCAGTGAATGCTGCCGTGTGCTCCTTGAGCCATTGTGACAAAGTGGATTTAAGTGGGGGTAATTTATTTGGGTTTTTTATTTTTATTTATTTTTATGTGTTTTTATCAGGGCCAGTGGGATCAGGAACTGCAGCTTCCAGGTCCACGGGAACTGTGGGGTCTGGTGGAGGAAGGGGTTTATTCATAGCTTCAGACCTGGCATGGTATCTGACAGGAGAGAGACCTCAGGCTGACAGGGGCTAAGGAAAGCAGCATGTCTCGGTATGCCTGACATTGACTGGGATCGATTGTTACACATGGCTTATGTATTCCTGGCTTAAATTATATAAAAATGCTTTTGTTGCCCCTTGTTAGAGTTTCTGTGTACCCGTCTGGGCTTCAGAGGCAGGAACAGTGTGCCTGGCTGGAGGGCTCTTCATCCTCTTGCCCATGTTTGCTGACTGTTTAGGGATTTGTACGAATGCCAGTGAAGGGAGCGAGTGATGTCTGCAGTCCTGTGTCCATAACTGAATGGGTGCTGAAGGTGCTTATGACTGGCTCCTAACTGAGCATGACTCTCTTAAGGATTTATGAAGTAATTTCTGTGAAAACAGAAACGTGTGATATCCTACCAGGCCCATGTCGATGGGAACAGAAATGGGGGCATCTTTGGGTAAGCTTCGTTGAAATCCAGCAGGCTGCAGCACTGTCGTGTTTAGTGTCGCTTCTGGTTAGGGCTGAAGTTGTGTTGGCAGCAAAATGGTAAGCCAGAGTTGTTTGTGTAAACCTTTGTTGACAAAATAACTGGATGTACTAGTCCTTTTAAAATGCTTGCCTAGAGATTTTTTTCCTTTTTTTTTGGTTGCTGTGGGTGTTGGGTTACAAAGTTTGCTTTCTTGGCCCAGAGCTGCCTGTGCTCTAAAGCTCCCTGGGCATAGCTCAGCGTTCTTCAAAGTGTAGTAGCTTGTCCCTCGTGCGAAATGCATATCCTGCTGCCAAAATGCTGTCTGCTTTCACTGCACTCATTGTGTTGCCTTTTTTTTTTTTGTTGTTTTTAACCCCCGCCAAGTAATTTGTCATAGCATTTTATTTGGGGGGGGGAGGGAAATGTTTTTGATCGCAATTCAGCAGTGGAATGCCAATACGTCATTAGAGGAGCAAAGTAAAATCACTGATCACCCTAAACTGTGTTGGTTTCTTTCCCTTTCGTTGTCGGTCATTTCTCTCACACATGGAATGGTCTAAGCTCTCCTGCCTCCTGGTGGGGATTGCTGATGGGGCTTTTGGGGTTTCCAGTGACAGTGTTCTGTGGTACACTTAGACTTATCACTTAAGGTCTGCCTAGAAATGTTAATCTTTTTTGCTTGGCAATGATGTAACCCTTGAGGAATTCAAGGGTAGGAATGCTCAAATAGTGATTTCAAAAGACCCCAAGACAATTATAGGGCTTATGAAAATATGATGACTTACCTATCTCACTTACGTCTTTATGTCAATTTGCTGACTTAATTTATTTCAATGCTAAAGGCTTTAGGGAAATACTTTTCCAGGGAATTAATCTTTTAACTAAAGTGAGTACTAAATATGACATACACTAGTATTCCTTTTGACAACATAGAATTTGTCTCCTAAAAATAAAGTGGAAAACATATGCCCCATGAGCCAAATTCCACTTGGCTTTACACTGAGATAAATTCAGAATAACTTCATTGTTATCAATGTTCAGCTTCATTGTAACGCTGCAATAAATGCGAATCACTAAACCAGAGGGGAAAATAACCTGACCCAAGAGGCACAAACCAAGGCAAAAATGGCAGCAAGAGAAGTTGGTTCACAAAATTTGCCTATTAAATTTCTGTAGCATTCAATTTAGTGGTTTCTTTCCCCCCCTTTATCTGGGAGAGCACTTCCTGACTGTGATAAATTTCTCCATGAGGGATTCATTATAAGGATTTTAACAATTAAGTTTCACCTCCTGTGTAACGCCTGGTACATGGCTACTGCTGTTTGCAGGATAAAGGATTAGAGGGACTAATGCGCTGATGTGGTGATAATAGTTACGTTTCTGTTCACTGTTAGAGCTGATCAAGTCTAGGCTGCATTTTCTTACACAGTATTTTTCTTCAGTTTATTGGTTTTTTAAAATTAAAAATGATCTGTGTAGCCTCAGGCCTTGGGATTTTGTTTTGTTTTTGTTTCAGATGCACACAGCTGATGTCTTCTCTCTGTTTCTGTCTCCTTTAGGATGACAGCGATGGGATTCCCTGGTCAGAGGAGCGGGTGGTGCGGAAGGTCCTTTATTTATCTCTGAAGGAGTTCAAGAACGCACAGAAGCGGCAGCATGGCGATGGCATTAGCGGGAGCCTCAAAGCAGTGAATGGTGAGATGCCTCTGCAGTACTCCTGGAAGGACTCAGTCCTTTCTTCAATGCGGTTCTTCTGGAAGGACTCAGTCCTTTCTTCAATGTGGTTCTTCTCCTACAGCAGGGAAGGAGACCAGTGCACCCTCTGGCATGCACTGTGCCCTTGTGATCTGCACAGAAAAACTTGTTTCTGAAGTGCTTGAAATGCCCAGTTTGAACAGTCCATATGTTTTGATCTGCACAGAAAAACTTGTTTCTGAAGTCCATATGTTTTGGTTTCTGGCTTAACTGATTGAGCTCGGGATCAGGGTGGAGGGTAGGTGCCAAGTGGGAGAACAGGGACAGGCTGCCATTCAGTAGAAAAGGAGGCCCCTCTGGTCAGTCTGCTCCCTGGTGTTGACAGAGAAGGTAACCGTTTATAAAAGTTACAGTTACCTTGGGGATGTACACTTGGACAGAATTTACATACTGTCATTTAACTGCAAGAAACTGACTAACTAGCATCTGTCTCTGCAGTGATCTAAGTCTGCGGGTGAAGTAGCATAGATCTACAAAAAGATTTAAAGGGCTGAAAGGACACGAATGCTGTGACATTGGACTCCTGTAGTTTAGCAGTTCACAGTCGTTTAAGGTATTAAAAGGAGATGCAGACAAGCTTAGGTGACAGGAGCTTGAAAGGAATTTAATTTTATTTATTTGATGCTTTAGCCAGTAATTTATCTGTTGCTTCTCCTTTCCTTACCCCTTGCTTAAAAATGCCCTGGTGTCCTGAGAGGTGAATATAAAGTGTGTCTCTTTCAGATTCATTTGGACCCTTACTTGAAAAGGCTTTGTCATGCTGGCTTGAGCCTTGAAAGTGATGACTAGCAGGATTCAGATTTCTGGGCAGGATTACAGTTTTCACTCACAAGAGCTTATTTGTTTCTTTATGGAGGTTTATGGCAGTTCCTTCTAGGCATGTGCATAACTATACATGTGCTAATGTACTAAAGCAGCAGCTGGCTGCTTACTTGGTAGGGTTTTCATATTTATATGTAGCTTGTGCTTTTGACATGGTGAGTCAGGTTTCACTGTGTTTTCACTGTGTTATTGCCGACAGGGCAAAAAACCTAGGGGAAGGGCTGGATCACTACAAGCAGCATGATAGAGTTACTGTATTGCGTAAGCAACTGCAAACTCCTTAATGTGATTAAAGAAGACCTCAGACTTCTGAGTTCAGCAATAATACCAAATACTGATCTGATGGGAAGGGGCACCTAGCTTTAAGAGCAAGCCATTAATAAGCTTGGAGGTGTACACAAAACAGCGCTGGCTTTTTTCCCTCCAACACCTCTGCATCATTGATCTTCTGTCAAACACAATTTCTCTTGGAAAGTTTCTTATTCCATTGTGGGGGTTTTGTTTAGTCAAAGGAAAAAAGTCTAAAGGCGTGAAGCACAGTAATTGTGTGTTAGGAGGCTTTGATGATGTGCCAGGTTACAGGATGACTGAGGTTTTTATGGTGTCTAGTTTCTCCAAAGGCAGCTTAGATAAAAAGTGAGTTGGCTGAGAATGCTGTGTCAATGCAGGTACCAGACATGGAGTATGCCACTGGCTTCCTCTGGCAGCGACACAGCTCGCATCTCCAGAGCTTGCCTCTTGCATTGAAAGCTGTAGCTTTTGGTGCTATTTCTTCATGGAAGTAGAGGATCAGTTATTTGGAGGTTGGTTTTTTTTTTAATTGAGCCAAAATGGTATTCCATGTCACTCTTTTGTTTGCTAAATGATTCTTTAAATGTCCTGTCTTAGCACTGCTCTGTTTCAACGTCACTGTCCAAAAGCTTTTTTTTGTTAAGCCATTGATATTTGGAAGAATGTTTCATTATGCAGAGAAAAAAGATTTGCAAAAGGGAGGAGGATTGATACTGTACACTGACATCAAGAAAATCAATTTAAACTTGCAGTTTGTTCATTACTTTTTTAAAACACATGTAGCCATGTATTTTCAAATCCACAGGTCTCTGTGGACTGAGAAAAAAAGCAGGTCATCGTAAGAAATTACTGAGCTGTTTTGAATTCAGGGAAATGTAATATTTTAAGGACGAGTCTTAGATCCATGATTTCCTACTGTTGGGAATAAAAAAATATTTCCTTGCACGTGTCTTTCATTCCAACACTCAGGTGACAACCATTGTTTCTTGCATGTTACTCCCAAAGGTAGCATGCAGTTAAATATAGTTTTATGTGAGTGATCTATGGTTTGTTTGTTTGTTTGTTTATATGTTGAAAATCAAATAGGTCACCTTTCAGTACCTGGAAAATTTATCCATTTCTAAGAGTGGAAGGGAGGGGCCTGAGCAGAGTTCAGGCTCTCTGAGCTCCCCGCTCAATGCAGGAGCATGGATTGCTCTTGTGTACTTCTGATTGACAGTGGACCAAGATCAAATGCTGCTACCTAGTTGTTTGTGGTTCCTTCAGCTGAGAGAATTTATTTGTTCTGGTTTTATAACTGTCACCCCTTACATTTATTTATTTATAGATTTGCAACTTGTAATTTGTTTTAGTAGAAAGTACTTGTGGCAATAGAAGAGAGTAAAAGACACACCAGCCCCTTCCAACTGGTGTTTTGGGGAAGTTTTTATGGGTTTGCAGTGGTTGAAGTTTCAAAGCATGCTGCAAAAGTTGCTTTCTTGACTTTTGCAAAGCTGCAGCTAAACTTGTATGAAAATGATTGTCAGTGGTATTTCATCTGGTGAGTACAGTAGCATTGTTAGTGATTTGGTAGCTGCCTCTTTGTGCCTCTTTGATTGATAGTATGAAAAGCAAATTAATTTTAAATGTGAGAGATGAACCCATTAACAGGAGTCTTTTCTGTGCTAAAGTTTCTGCAAGCTCTCAGATGTGCTGGTGGTGGCATGGAGACAATTAACTTTGATGCTTCTCTGAATAATGAAAGAAAAATAAAATTTAAAATAAATAAAAATTCGGATTACTTTTGGCAATTATATGTATTATAATACCATGTCTGTCTCTGCCCCAGTATTAAAGATACTTGTTATCCTGAAAATAATCCTGCCATCTTCAGTTTGTGCCTGAAATCCTGTAACTAAAGTGGCTCTGATTAAAGAGAAAGGCAAGTGGGTGCATTATTGTTGTAGTATTGGTGGTTATATTGCCTGTGTGTTTATGTCAACTCTGGATATTGGCAGAGTGTAGAATGACACTCTACATTGTGCCTTTGTTTTCTATGTGTTCCTCTTCACTATGCGGGAATATAAAATCTGAAGGAGGTGCTTCTGCCAGTTGTCAAGAAACCCTCTGCAGCCCTAAATGGGATCCTGGAACTCTGATTATGGAAACAAGGTTGTGTGCTGGAAAACCCAGAGGGACCTCTTTAGTGATTTTGATTACTGCTGCCTGTCATTTCCGTTAGGATTTTAAGAATAGGGATAGGTGTTTGTAATAGTGATACCAATTTTCAGAGATCCTCGTCTAAAAGGAAAACTAATTCCCTTGGGAAATTGTTTTCTTCTTGTGTAACTTAGGATGTGAGATAATGCTATAAAAATGCAATGAAAGAGGTAATTATTGCTTGCATTCTGTTGATGAGAGTAAATCCAGTACCCTCAAAAGAGTATATCATAAAGCAAACTTTTATGACTTAAGATTTTAAATTCCGTTTTTCGTAACTTGTGATAAAGAAGAAATCTGTGATGCTTAAGTGCGTTTCTTAAATGGAAAAAGTGACAAAGTTTGCTAATTTGTTTAGGGTGGTTAGTTAATCTACAGAGATGACAAGCCAGATACTAGAATTACTCAAGCAGATACTGTGTATTCACTAGCTATACTTTGTCCTAGAAAGGTGTCATGGCAGTTTTCAAACATGTCAGCTAGGTTAAGCTCCTGGCAGGCATAATCTCATTGGGAAATGAATTGTACGTGAGGTAATGCTTTGGTTCAAGGCAGAAGTTGAAAGTCTTGTTCATTTAGTGAATAAAGAGATGAGTAAAAGTATGTAATTTTGCTCTTCTGAGAGATTTCACTTTAGATTTGGGGTCGTTAGTTGTTTATGTATTTTATGTGTATTCTTTAAACAGAGAAGGAACCGTGTGAGCACTTTGATGCAGGCAGTGGTTGGATGATAGATAAATGTGGTGCCTGTTCCTCCCTTCACAGAATCACAGAATCATCTTGGTTGGAAAACATCTCCAAGGTCATCGAGTCTAACCTTTCACTGATCATCACCTTGTCGACCATAGCACTAAGTGCCACATCCAGTCGCTTCTTGGACACCTCCAGGGATGGTGACTCCATCACCCTGTGCTGGCCTGCTTCTGCCCTCAGCCATTCCTGCACAAAAGCTAGCGAGACTTTTGTTGGAGGGCTGTTTTTTCCACAAACAAAATGTCTCTGTACTGAGAGGCAGAAGCCTCTGAGACAGCTCTTGGTGGGGCTGCGGTGCCAGACCCAGTGGCAGCAGCCTCCTCTGATGCCTGGGTCTGCCCATCCCTTGGCATCCATACTGGCTGTCCAGTCCATCTGGGGCAGCCAGCAGTGCTGGCTGAAAATAGCTCATCATCAATTGTTATTGATGCACGGATTTTTAAGCATTTTCTGCTCGCTGCATGGGGGTTCTGTTGATGGTCCCCAGCAGGCCATGTTGAAATGAAAGTGCCCAGTGATGGGGTGGAATGGTGTTCGCTTTATCTGACTTCAGCTTGTTGGTGAAACCTCTTTTCCTGGGCCATGTAAGATGGTACTCCAGGCATGGCATGACAAATTGCAGCAGATGTGATAGAATGCCTAAACACTGCTAAGCTGGGTGCTGCAGCTCAGTGCCATGCAGTATCTGCCCAAAGCTAACTATGTGGGGGTAGCAGCAGCTGCCAGCAGGGCAACCACATCTTCTCTGGGCTTAGACCAGGTCTCTTCTCTTCCTGCTTGTGCAGGTGAAAACACAGCAGCCCTTGGGGAAGTGCTGTTATTTTAGCTGCGCCCCTGTGTGCCCAGAGCAGTGTGTCTCCTTTCTCCCTGCTACA